GACGTGTTGCTTCTGTGTAGGCTTGGGGCTAAAAGGAGGGGCCTAGGCCCCGAGGCTGGGCCCTAGGCTAAAGTAACCCCCCTTCTAGACTTTGTGAGAAGTGGCAGGTAACAAAGGCCACTACCTAGGTTCTACGGAGAACCGGGCGAAGTTCTAGCCTGGAACTGTTGTTACCGTTGACTTTGCAAGGGTAGGCTAAGGTTGTGCGTGGTGCACTTTTTTGTCGCCAGACTAGCGTCGGCGAGGGTAGGCTTGCAGAGGCTGCAAGGGTCGAGGCAACTAGATAGTCTGAGCTAGGCACACAGACCGGGTGAGACCGAGGCGGTCATGAGTACAGCTCAGTGATTCCATCGAGGACGATGTAGATCTCCGTACCTGCGCGAGAGGGTTAGAGCTGGGTCGGGGCAGGCCTAAAAGGGGGGCCACGTCCCCATGAAACCGAATCTGGAACGCAACCGCGTAGCAACTGCAGACCGCACAGTGGCTACGCGACCGAAATGATCTGAGCATCGGCTGTCGAAAATTTGAGCCATTCATAAAACTAAATTCGAAGCGTAGTGACCTTGTAGCCTCGTAGTGACCATGTAGTGACCAAAAATGTTTCGAAAAACTCCGAACTCCAAGATTCATGCCAACCGACTTCATTTCGGCTGCTTACCAAGAACGTTTGAATTTGAGCCATTCATGACTCGAAGCGTAACAGTGTTGTGACCGGAGTGTTGGCCAAGATGCAACTTCGAATTATTTCCAAAAACAACAAAATTTATTTCGGATGTTTGGCTTCATTCCGGTTGCTGCCCGGTTTCGTTCCGATTGCTACCCGGTTTCATTCTGGGAATCGTCCGGTTTCGTTCTGGTTGCTGTCGGTTTCATTCCGGAAATCGCCCGGCTTGACTCCGACCTTTGAACATGTTGCGACAAACATAAAGCATTATTGAAACCCCCCTTTTTGCGCTTTGTTAAATCAAACTTGAAACCAATTTTGCGTACAATGAAGCAAATTTGAAGCATTAATGAAATTAGAGCCTTCTATTCTCTCTGAACCGAAGAGCTGCTTTCTCACTTTTTTTGCTTCCTGGTCCAACAACCACTTTCTCCCATTTCCCGCTTTCGAGTACCGCGTAGAGACCGCGGAGTGACCGTAGTGACCGCATAGTCGCGTAGTGACCGCGTAGTGACCACGTAGTGACCGCGAAGTCTCTCTGGCTCAAAGAGGCCGCTTTTGGGTCGTTTCTGACTTATTTTGCTCCTTGGTCCAATAGCCTCCTTTTCCCATATATACACGCAGCAAAACATTTTTCTTCACACACAAACGAAAAAAACTTCAGAAGTCAAAAGCGATGAAAACAAATTGAAAGTACCACACGCAACAGACAGCAGGAAAAACATCATGACAAGAGAAGAAAGCCATACGAAACCCATTGGAGGGTTTGAAACGACGAAAAAAGAACAAAGAATGCAAGAACACCTTGCAATGAAATTGTTTCCATACACAACAAGAAGAAAGCCACTGAAACCCAATTGAAAGAGCGAAAATTGAATAAAAAGTGTCGACACTGAAAAATGCACTGTCTCGTCCAAAGAAGCGAATCAAAGAAGAAAAAAATGAAACAACTTCCTCAACAACTATCAGATTGGCTAGAGTGCATGACGTCCACTGGATCCTCCTCTCTGAAAATCAAACTCATGCCTGAAGCTTCCCGAGGCAATGCGTGTCAACAGTGCCAGCCAACACTGAGTCTAGACTGCATCTTTGCGGCATCCAATGTTCTCACTTTCAATCCTGCTAATGAGGTCCCATGAAGCAATATGCACCAAGAAAAAAGGATGCTACAAGGACTTTGCTGCACTGGAAGCGCAGTTGGCACCTTTGAGAAAGTGGTTATGCTTTCCTTTTTTCGCCTCGATTTGGAAGGTGAAAGGAAGTTTCCAAGCCCTTAGTTTCTGGAAGTTTGGTTCTGAAGGCTTTTAAGAAATAGCTGGTCATTTGTTCTTGTAGCAGCTGTGAGAGAGTTGTGTCTTTTTGGCGTCAGGACTTGAGTGAAACGAAGGCTCTAAGTGTCGTAAACCTAGGGGTAAGCTGAGGTTGTTACAGTTGAGACAACGCTCGTGTTCGTTTGTTCGTTTTCGTTGCAATCGCTCTACCTTCTTGTCTGTCTCTCGTTTGAAACCCTGAAGCGTTTCCATGTGGCTTTCTCCCTCTTGTGTGGAAGTCTTTCGTGGTCAAGCGCGAAAGCCTTCTTGTCTGTCTGTGTGATTCTTTGTTTTACGTCTGGACGCGTCTTTGCTTTCTTCTTTCTTGTGCAAATTCAACTTAATCCGCGGACTGTACACAGTCTTTGACGTTGGTGCGAGTCAAGAAGCTCTTGTGAACCTGAAAGTCCAGAGCTATTGCATAATGGCCGCAGATTCCCAGTCTACAATGTGGGAATTGGAAATGACTCTCTTTCAGGCGCCTGCGTCTTACCTCTGCCTGCCTAGAATGCCTCCGCTTTAGAAATTCAGAAGAGCATCTGAAATGCCTTATTTGTGGTTTCATGTTTTGTGCCAGTTGGCAAGACGAGCTGCGCCTTGAGAAAAAACCGAGTACTGCCGCTCTATTTTTCACATGGTAGAGGAGCCAGTTTTTCGCTAATGCGTACAGTGTATGTTTTTGAGTTTTCAAGTTATTTTTGGGGGCAAAAGTGTAAACCGTTGATCTGGAATTGATTGTCGTGACCAATCCATTGCTTCGATCACGCGAATCCGTTATCGTCATGTGTCTGCGATGTAAATGTTGAGTGTGTATTTTTTGCGGTTTTTGATTTTTGCCCATGCATGAAGACCTTGTTCACATGGTTTCGGAAGCGAGGGCTAGTCAATTGTGAGCACGGTCGTCTTAGGTCCGTGCAGCTGCGACCCATCATGTGCAACTTTAGACAACTACGATGTTAAGGTTTCTTATTGTACCAGCTGTCGCTGTGGTGAGTTGGTTTGTGATCCCGGCCCGGCTCCAAGTGAGAGGTTGAATGAACATGATGACAGATTGCCAACGTGTTGTTCATGTTGCTGCCAACTGTCTGTCGACCTTAGCAAGGTGCAACACGCATTTGTGCTTCAGAAAAATTTAGGTCGTGGCGTTAAGGGGGGTTTCGACCCTTTATCTGCTGCAAGATGGAGCGATGGGCTGTGTTCTTGATGTATTTCTTGTCCATATGTAATGGACAGATTGAGGAGCTACCAACGTGGAAGTTCTTGGTGACGTTAGATGATACACTGACTTTGCCTGCTGGCACCCACGGATCAGACCTTATGGCTGATTCCGCATTCACAATATTTGTTCAGAGACTTCTCTCCGGAGCGATGGTGTTGCCCATAACCCACATTGCACCGTCGGCCTTCGTGCTCCAAAATGCAACTGTTTTGGAGGATGTTCACGCGGAAGCTGTCAATGCATATGGCGGTGTTGCTCACGGAAAAAAGGCTGTCAGATTCGTGGCAGAGCTGACGGTCAACAGCAGACCTGCCCAGCGCTTAATTTCACTCAGATCTGATTTGTGACTCCGATTCCCGAAATGCATAGGCATGCAGTTGAAGCAAGGTTGCCCTCGAAATTTGGCGGATGCCTTCGCTGTCGCTGGCAGGACTTGCGCCGTGGCGTAAGCTGCATGTAGAGACCTTGACAGACATGTCGATCTTCCAGTGATGTCAGCGGCTGCCATAAATTTTAAATTCGCGGTTTCGGAAGAAGAGGTAGGGAGACCATCCATCCTGCGTCTCACTGCGGCATGGTGCACATGTTGCGCAGAAGTTTCACGTGTCGAGCAGAAAATATGATGGAAGGCAAACTTGCACATATCTTCAATTCCGAGCAGAGCCCGGCACTTTGGACTTGTCGTGGAAGTTGTGTGTGTCGGTCCTACACCAGGGATGCATGCTTGTATGTATGTGTGCACATAGACGCAGGTAGATAGATAGGTAGGTAGGTGGGTGGGTGTGTATGTAGATGGGTACGCATGTATGCATGTATGTGTGTGTGTGTATGCATGCATGCATGCATGCATGGATGTTTGTTTGTTTGGTTGTTTGTTTGTTTGTTTGTATTGTGTACATAATGTGTATATACATGCGCCTGCAAGCAATCTTTGTTGCATGCAGGATTACATGGCTCAGTATCTTCATGCATGCATGCATGCATGCATGCATGCATGCATGGATGCATGCACTGGGCCAGGGGGTTTCGTGACTCGTAGATTCGTAGGTCTTGATCCAGTACATGGCCTGGCAGATGAACAAAATACAACGAAAAAGCCTCAATGATAGCTTCCACTCGTCCCTCGCTACTCGTCCCTCTCTAGAATTCACAGACGTTTTGGAGGCTTTGGCTCAAGTTTTATTACAGCCCACATGAAATCCAGCCAGTCCTTGACTTGCTTCAGTGGATGGTTGAATGAGTAATTGGTGTGCAGATAGCCCATAGAAGAATAAGCTAGTCGCAGCAACGCAAACTTCTGATGGCCGAGCGAAACCTACGCCGGCCCAATGATGCTAGTGCTGGCCGGTTTTCGGCCCCTCCATTGCCTGGTCGGAATTTGGAGCCACTCTCCTCAAACAAAGTGAAGGATGCCTTTAGTATTTCACCCGTTCCCAGTCCACCGAAGTCTCGAAAGAGCGTCCGTGCACCAGAGCGCTTGGCAGAACGGCTGAAGGGCGGACATGTCCGTGGCATGCTTGCGCGTGCTGGTCTCCGACAGATCGTCGAGGAGCAAAAGGCGGAACCAGGTCGCTGGAGCCACAACGGCCGAGGGCTCTTCACTGAACTTGTGCAGGTGACACAAGGCTCCTCGATGTCTGATCTGCTCGTCGCCTTGACACGTGTCAAAGCCTTGGAAGTTGAACACTGGCCCGAGAGTATCAAGGCCACCGAAAAGCTCGAACTGCTCCGATCGCTGCAGAATCGATTGCAGTCGGCGCTGAGCTGCAGCAACATCGAGGAAATTGAGATGCTTTTGCAGAGCGTGGCAGTGGGAATACGAAACCATCCCGACTTCTGCCTGCTCGTGGCTGCAGTCGAGCAGCGACTCCAGAACCTACGAAGCCTGCGACGGGAGCTGAGACGAGTTGCCCGGTCTTCCGACGTCATCCTGCTGGCAGGCTCGCTGCGAGTGGCAGATGAGCTCGAGGTAAGGGGACACCAAGCCGCGACTCCTTGGAAAGAAGTCGAGGTTGCGGAAGCTCAGAGCTCAGCTGTGGGTGCTTCTGCAAGGTGGGAACTGCTGCAGGTGCAGCATCCGCACAGAGTGCTTGATTCAGAAAGATTCATGAGATTCATGTAAATTTGACCGAGGTCCGCTTGAAGGTGCTGCATGCGCTTATTGCGAAAATGCCTCAGTCTCAGCATGGTCCATGTGTAGTAGACAGACCTTTCTGTGGTTGGAGAGTTTCGGTGGAACGCAGCGCAGAATGCTTGCAGAGTCGCATGCGCCGACGTTGTCGAGACAACGATCCCATTTCCTCCGCAGCGTTTGGCTCAAAAGGCTGCTCTGGACGAGAGCGGGTATGGATTCGGCACAACATGAGCAAAAGTTCGAAAACCGAGGTGGCAACTAAGCTCAAAAGAGTAGGTCGCCACTTGCTACCAGTCCCTCTGGGCACACATGGACAGATCTGGATGGCTTGTTCTAACAGCCTCTGCGGGCAGTCTGATTCTGGTCTTCCTGTGGAAGCGAAGTCGTGAGAGGCGACACAGAGTGCCGTGCGAAAGCTGGGCAAGATGGGTGATGGCAAAGACCGACGGGTCATCCTTGCAAGCTCCGTTGTTGCTGACAGGCGTCCCTCTCGGAGAATGCATCGACAGGTGGTCGGACACGTACCTAGAGAGAATCATCGGCGAGACAAAGATTTCTGTTCACATCTCAAACACCCGCTTCCTGGACTTCGCGGCAAAGAATTTCAAGTATGAGATAATGACATTTCAAGGGTTTTTGCAGCGCATTCAGTCCTCGAGCGAGGGCACCTTTCTGTATTATCGCTCACAACATCAAAAGCGGAACAAAGCTTCAAGCCTGGATACGCTTGGTTCCATCGCGGACGACTTCGTTATGCCTCGGCTGCTTCTAGATCCATTCCGAGTGCACTCCACTGTGTTGCGGGTAGCCAGCACTGGCTTGTGTATGTGGCTGCATTATGATGTTTGTGACAACTTTCTTTGCTGCATACGAGGGCGAAAGCGCGTTGTCCTCTTCCACCCAAATGACATTGACCGCTTGTATGTGTCAGGCTCTTCCTCTGCAATGGGGAGCCGTTTGTTGCAGAAGCGAGGTCAGACACAACTCTGGAAAGAGTTTCCGTTGGCAAGTGCTGCCTGGTCTCGACGCCTGGAAGTTGTGCTCAATGCTGGTGATGTGCTCTTTATCCCTTCGTTCTGGCCTCATTGCACGGAAGCACTTCCTTCAAAGGGCAGTCGTTCCAGCATAAGTGTAAATACATTCCTGCAGCGTCCTGAGTGGGCCAGCTTGCACGATCCCAAAGATGTTTGGGCGAATCGAGAGCTTTTGCCAGCACAAGAAGCAACAAAAGGAATGGAGAAGATCTTGCCGCAGCTTCAGGAGCTGCCTCCAGTTCCTCGAGCCTTTTACTGCCGCAAAATGGCTGCTGAATTGCTGGCCATGGCCAATTAACCCCGATTGCTGGGTATGCGCTCGGCAAAACCATACCGTGTCTTGAGCAGGCGGTCCGTCTACAGAAAGTCATGTGTGCAGAGCAGCACGGAATCCGGAATCTCAGGACAGTTGTCTTGGGCATCGTGGGTGAGGTGGACGAGGCTTCGTGACATGAGAGACACGCATGCAAGCTTCTTTTCGCTGGGCGATGACATGTGATTTGTCTCCGTTTGTTTGATTGTGCTGCTAGACTTGACTTACCAGACTTTGTTCTTTTGCAAGATTGACGCCGTCTTGCAACTGAGGAAGTTTCTTGTGAGAAGAAGCAAAGGGTAATACGGAGTAATACGTGTGCTCGGCATTCATGCATTCATACTTCCTCCAGGCAGTCTACCTGGAGGCAATGGACATTCTGATTGCATGGACAGCTGACGCTGGCATGTACGGTGAGAGGTGCTGGGACATGCCAGCAGAGTCGTGGAGGATGATCCGCCACCCCCAATAGGTAGGTCCACATGCCTGCAGTGTCCAATTCGTCTATCGAGCAAGATGACAGGATCGGTTCTCAAAGCAGTCAGGGAGCAATTCCAGCAGAGGCTGGTCTGCCTTAGTCTCTCCATTTTCTTACGACAGCAGAAGAAGGTTGCGGTCTGCAAGCAGGTTTGGCCAAGACTACAGCCCAACGGTTGCTAAGAGCTCATTCTCAGTCTCTGTCACATGCCGCTCTTGCACTCGGCCGGCCCAGGCTGCAGAGATGGCAGCGAACAGGGCTCAGCAGGCTGCATTGGAGATGGAGGTCGGACCGGAGGGTTCTGGTCACGGAGTAGCTTGAATAGTATCCCTTCTGTGCTCCCTACCAAAACCTTCCCTGTTCTTGCCTTCGGGCCACATGCGCGAGCTGCATGCTATCCCGCCTAAACAAAAGAGCCTGGTTTCCGCGAAAACTATAGACTTGAACAGCATGAACCGTGTTGCGTTAGCGATTCAAGCAGAACTCCACATCTTCAACATCGAGTGAAAGCGGACATATGAGAAGCTTCTCAAGCGCTGCTGTGTGCCTCAAACTGAACATCTGCAACCGCACAAGTGCATGCTTGGAGCCAAGAGTGTGCAAGATACTTGCGGAGCGGAGGGCGGGTTGGAGGCATTCTGATTGTAATCCTGACGACCAGTAAAGTGCTGTTCAAGCAGCCTCAGCTAACCTGTACTCTCGGGCTCTCACCCGAGGCCCACCTTTGCCGTGGATGTTAGGGTGGAGGCTGATACTCTAGATATTGATTCGTACTCATAGCAGTTCGTCGTTGTTTTCTGTGGTGTTCCATGCTGTTAGGCCAGAGCTGCTCATAAGAGGCAGCTGACTTTGAATAGCCTGGACAAGAAAATTCGATCATAAGTGTTGGTGGTGTGGCAGCGGCTAGACTCGCCGAGAGGTTTGCGCAGTTCCGCTATGTCTCTCTTGCCCGAGCAGTGACTCACGTTCCCTTTATCACGGCTTCCATGCGGACCCGAGCACTAAGCTGTTTCGAGGGCAGGCAGTGGAGAGAGACCGGCTGCCCCCGTGCATACGATGACCAGACACATGATGTTCACTGTCTTTGTTCAACTTCATGAATTGACGTTGAACTGAAAGGCTTTCAGCGCCTGCGCAGAATTGTATCTCAGCAGTTGAGGGAGGAGGAGAGGAGAACGAGAAGGGAACAAAGAGCAGAGCGGACAAGGAGCGGAATGACAGCGGGGCTCGTTACATGTTGCTGCGAGCGTGCTCGCATCGAGCGTTTGCAGGTTCCTGTGCAGCACTTCGACAGTGCTGGCAGCCTGGTTGTCGAGGCGACCGCACCGGATTGGATGTTGAAGGTTCCAGGATATAGTCCCGGCACAGCAGAGGACGACCTCGACTCTGGCGAACAGATCGTGGGCCGGGTCATGCAGTCGGAGTCCGAGGCTCAGATGTCGTGGTCTGCCCCGCGAGGAGCCTGAGACTCACTCCTTAGCTCCGGACTTGTACCGGATTTGGTACCACGAGGCTGGCAAAAATCAGGCTTCCAATCTCCGAGGACTTGGAAGCCCAGAATGCAAGGGAGCAGGACAAAGTATGCGCCCCTCTTCCTTGAGGATGAAGCGAGACCTTCTGAACCAGTTCTGCATCGAGAGCCGCTCAACAGCAATGAAGCATCTGTTGCACTGTGCCACTGTGCCATGTCATCGCATGAACCAGCTGACTTCTTGAGGCCGGGAGGCAGCGAGGAGCGACTGTTGCACTTTGCGATGATCTGCTGATGCATCCCCCTCCAGAGCACATGCTGATTCTGAGCTTGCAGGGCAATGTCAATGTGTGTCGCGATCCTGCGGGATGATGCTGATGTTGTTCGCCTTGCCAGCACCCTTCACGTGCTTGCAGCCGTGTGCACCAGCAGCACCACCAGCTGATTGTGACATTCTTCCGAGTCTTCCTTCCTTTGCTCAGCAAAAGCCACAGTTCAAAAAGACGCTCCGACCTCACCTGTCCTGCACATTTTTGTCGCCATGAAACCAGCCTCCCAAAGCCCGGAGGGTGCTAATGCTTTAGACTTGGTTCAGAAAAGACCTCGATGGGGTAAAATTCACTGTTGATCCGTTTTTAGCTCTCTTTTTGACCTCTTCCTTGGACCTCTTTGCATCCGCCTCTTCTTTTTCTCTGCACCCGTGTGTCTTGCCTTCCAGAGCCCGGACCAGCTTTGAATTTTTTACCTCTCCGGGCGTCGCCTTTGTCTCAGAGGACGCCTACGGGCGCCTGTGTCAGCAGCTCGTGGGCGACCTCGTGTCGAGAGAGCCTCTCGACTCCAAGTTTTGGATGAAGGAACTCTTGTGACAGACTCTTTTCCGAGCCCCCCGAGGCTGGAAGAGGTCGGGAACCAGAACGCGGCTTGGCCTGGCAGAAGCGCTTGGCTTTGGCACTCCTGCCACGTGGCAGCCTTGCAGGCCAGCCTTGGCCACCAGGGCAACGCGTCGGGACCCAAGTGTCGGCTCTTCTCGGAGCCGAAAGGCCGAAAGTGTGGTGCTTTCTGCAGGCATTCTTCGTGGGCTGTGCAGTCTACATGGGAGTCCATTTGCGATGGAGACGCAGTTGAAACCGTCAAGGCCGCGACCAATGACCGCCACATCTTCGGCCGACACTGCTGCGAGCTTGTTCCCCCGTTATATACCGTGTGCCGCAGGTGTATCGGTTGAATCTGCTAGATGTCTTGCCACAACGGCCGGCATGAGGTGCTGATGAGCATAGTTCACGGTGCCACCCCACAGGAGACACGAGTTGTGAACCGTCAGAAACGTCCCTGACAATTTGTAGTCTTATCCATCAGGGCGGCGAGTACGCGTACTCGGGCCCGCCTGGCACTGCTGTAGAGCTCCGCCTTCAGTCCCTTCGCCGAGTTTCATGTTTCAGTCGTGCCCTGACTGCATGCTCAGATCATCACCCGTTCGGCCAGAGCCAGTGCTGCCCTCAAGCCGGCTGTTGCAGCGGTAGTGGGGCCAATCCGAAATCTGACCGTCCGTTTGACCTCATGTAGGCATGTAGGAGCTATCCCCCGACAGGAACACAAAGATGTCAAGGTGTTGGAGGCTGGCCGTTGCCATGCTTGCACATGCCTGCGCATGTGCATTAGCAGAATTGCGAAAGGATGATGCGGGAAGGAGCAGCCGTGCCATTGCTGATGGCATCGTCCATGAAGGGTTCGTTGCTCAATTTGCCTGCTCAGCTCATTTGTGGATCCTGTTTCCCTGATCCAAGTTTGCGACCCCTTGTGCAAACTCCATCAGCCGAAACAGCTTGCGCCTAAATGGCTCTACGTCAGAAGCTTCACGTCGCAGTCTCGAGCTCGTATTGAGGTGCCAACCAGTGGGAGGCAAAGTGCAAACGATGCAAATGCAGACTCCCGGGCTTCGCAGGCCCATGTAAAAGCCCCTTGCCCGGACTTGGCATTGGCCTGGACCCGTCAGGTCTCCGAGCAGAAAGTGGACGCCACAAAGGATTCGTCCGGGCCTTCTTCGGCGCTGCTGTGAGCAGGATTGACGAGCTTTGGAGCTTTCAGGCAGCGCGTGAATCCGGGCAGCTGTATCGTGAGCACGCCGTCCGTGGAGGCCATGCGGATGGGCTGGGCCGTCTGTGTCTGGCTGTGGTGCATCAGTGGCATGCTGTGTAGGCCAAGAGCAGTGTCGCCACCTTGCCCATGGAGGCAGGCAGAGTCCGGGGTGTCACTTCCTTGCATTTGAAAGCGCCTGATCTGGAGGAGGCCGGTGCATCCCTGGTCGGAGGCATCGTGCAGACTGAGTGGGCAGCTCAGGAGCCAAGGGCACCGGGGCCGAAGCTTCCGGACACTCAGCACTAATGCGAGTTGCCAAGGCTGGAGAACCTGGGAGAGGAAGAAAGTAACGTCATGCTGAACCTCGACGATGAGAGCAACGCTCTACCCTTACCTGCTTCTTGTGCAACAAGGTTCGCCAGTCATTGGGCTTCGATGTGTCGCAAGCACAACGTCTGGCCTTGCCACCATGGTCCAGACTGGAACTTGGAATAGAAGGAACTGGTGATACCATTCGCTACCTGGTGGGGGTGCTGGACTTGCCATACATGTCAGAAAGAGCCAAGCCCGCTCTTGGGGTCCACAGGCTTTGGCGATGCTGGAAGCTTTGACCTTTTTGCAATGCTCGCAACAGTGCGACCAATCAACCCGACACAGGGCAAACCAAGCCGTTCAAGACTGCTTTCAAAGTGCTACCAAATCGGTCGCAAATTATTCGAGGATGCTTTTTGTGTCGTCATCGTGGGAGTTTTTTTTGCTGACTATGCTGCCAGTGTACATGGGGAGGGGGGCAAGAAGCCTTTCCCTCTTAGCCCGACATTTGTCAGGTATACCCCTGGGTATAAGCCGGCAACAGCCATCGTAAGTTCGCAAAACACCGAAAACTATGCAACTGCCAGCTCAGAGACAACCATGGTTAAAGCCTCTGAAAACCAACCAAGCAGGAAAAACAAACAACAACCCGTGCAATTCCCAAATTAAGTTTCAGCGCATGCCTAATCAGCCTACTCATACAGCTGCACGTGCGCGTGCAACCGGATCGCAACTACCCTAGCGCGCATAGCTCGCTTGAGCGGGACTTTGCAACCGGGCTCCGACCTCTTTTATCTTAAGGGTCGGCCCGGGTTGGTGCCGTAAACCCTGGGAGAACGTAGTGCAGTAGAGACTTGAAGGCTGCATCGAAGCCAGCCACCTCTGACGCTGGGACATTCGAGGCAGGTGTCAGTACCAGTATGTTGGGCAAACATGGCGAAGGTGTGTTTCAGCGTGCCATGTGGGTCAGGATGTCGTCTTCCAGCAGAAACTGCAAGATCAGCCGGCTACTCGGGGGCCTTCAGCCCGCTTTGTGACGGTCTTCACTTGTGACACATAAAGGCTTGCGGTCCTGCACGTGCCTGATGAAGAGGCGACTGCGGTTTGTTCTGCCTGTCTGATTCGGCTTTGTCGTCTGAAGATTGTCTCGCTGCTACAGAGAAGTTACCCAGGATGCTGCAGATGCTGAGGTGGCAGAGGTCATGCCGCCAGTCGTACCATTTTGAGAGCAGTCTTCTGGAGAGTGCGTCTCTCTTTTCGGTTCAGGTGCTTTCCAAAGCATGTTCTGCAGCTTGGATGGAGGCGCAAGCTGCGCCAGCTTGAGTGGATCACAGTGTCATAGTGTATGCAGGAGCGTGGTTGCTCTTCGGTACCACCTGGCCGGCAATCAGGATGCAAATTCTGCGATGCCCAAAGGGCCCAACTCATCGCATTGGCAGAGATGCAGATGTGAGCTGTTACGAAGGATTGTCGCCCGTGGCAGAAGTCGCGTGTCCACCGGCAAGTCCGACATCACGTGTGGAGGACAGCCAACTAAAAGGCGCTGAGGTCGTCAGGTTGTCAAACCGTCAAAGCACGCTGCACCCTGGGGTATCCTGCTTGGACACCCAATGGGGAAGGTCCACAAGTCATCGGGTCCTGAAGCTCTTGCACGCTTCGCAATGCCGTTGGCTGCTGAGCTTAGTGGAAGAGGAGTCCGAACACGTCGTGTCGCGGGGCTGCCCGACGATCTTCAAGTTATTGTCCACACTCGTCGCGTCGTGGCGATTTGTGGAAAGCGGGAAGCTATGCTGCCGCATCGCTCGGGATCCTGTCTGTTCGTTTCAGCAGTGCGAGTTTGAGGGAGTGTGTTTATTGATATAGATCGGGCTCGCCATGCCGAATGCAGACAGTCTTAAACCTGCTCGGAGATCCGTTCGTTGTCTTGGCCTTCGCTGCGTTTGCTCAGGGCATCTGGAACGCCTTTTTTCACAAAGAATGCAGCCTGCGAGAGCCGAAATTCGACTTCAGTGTTTGCCGCCGACACGAGTACAACCTGTGACCGCAGCCGGCGCTCGGGCATCAACTGAACTTCCCGGCTAGTGTCATTCTGGAGAGCTTGCGGCGTAGAAATGTTCCTGTTTCAACACCGGAACTCTCAATCAGCTGCGTCCAGTCACAGTCGGGAGCCACTGTGTGGAAAGAGATGCTCAGAAGAAAAGTTTCTTGGAGAAACAGGCTGTCTCAGAAGGTCCGTGAAGAGATTGTAGCATGTTAAGGTTTGCTGCTCCGGTGCAACACGCTGGCTTGCTTTTCAGAAACAGGCCCGGTAGGTATCCTTTGTAAGAACAGAGGAGAAGAGTGAAGAGGCTTCGGGAACTTAGGGGAACTTTCTTTCCTGGCATGTGACTGAAGTCAAGTTACGGTGTTGCATGTCGAATTGACGGAATGTGAACGGCAGAAGTGCGCTGCAGCAGGAACCCAGCATACCAAGGCTGTAAAGTGCCAGTTGTTATCATCGTACGGATGCAGGAGTCGTTGGCGGAAGAAGCGGTGCAGAGTGCTCTGCGAGGCGCAGGCCATGAAAATGATCCTTGTTTGGACCTTGGCCAAAAGCTCCTCGCAGCTGGCACGTGGCGTCAGGTGAGGTCGCCATTTCGGATGGTGGATCCAGTCGTGGAAGCGACGTGCGCCACTCCGGTGTTTTTTAGGGCAGGCGGTGGCAGGAAGCAAAGCAATGCCGTCCAGGTCGTGGCAAGCCAGATTGCTGGCTGTTTGGCATGGGCCTTGGCTCGTCGAGCGCGACTTTGCCGCTTCGGAAGACTCGAGTTTGAGGCTTCCGATGTCTTGCCTTCTCCCTGACATGGGCTAGACTCCTGTTGAGTGTTTTATTGTAGACTAGGGGCCGAGCAGCAAGTGTGGCACTCATCAGCACAAGTTGGAGCAAGTATGAGCACAAGTAAGTGCGTCATTGTCAAGCCTTGAAGCTGACGGTTTGGGTCTAGACAGCCTCTGGCAAAGCCACAAAGGCTGCAGTTTGAACAGGCACTTTGCAAGCCACGCTTCGGCACTCGAAACAATCCGGGTCAGCGAGCTTGATCCATCTGTACAAAGCTGCGTGGCATGTTAATGATGCTAATGAAAGGTCATCCGCATCTGCCCAGCAGGAACGAACCATCTGGCTTGTCAGAGAGCCATCCGATACGTCGGACCAAAAGATGGCCATGTAGTGCTTGATGGAGTGATGGTTGTTTATGGTAATCACTTCAGCAGAGCATTCCCGCACGCCCGTGATGCCATCTTGTGTACATCGAATGCTGCGTTCGATGCTACGAACAGCTTCAGTTTACCCAAAGTCGTGTTGACAGGATGTAAAGCAGATGAGTGGAGGATGTTGCTACGCTTAAAGAGGGCTCAGGGCTATGTAAGAGTTTTAAATTAAAAGCTGAGTCCAAGCGTTAAAGCCACCGCCTCTCATGGACTTGCCAGATGCGGAAGGGGTGTCTCGGACTCCAAGTAGATGCTGTTGAACTTCGCTGCAGCTGATTCATGATTTTGTGACCTCTTGGCAGGTATCTCTTGAAGGAGGATGACCCCCAGGAGAGTCGCGAGCTGGTCAGCTTTCAGATATGCCGCTGGGCGCTATCCCAGGACGCCGGCTCCACGAAGGCTTTGCCCATCTCCCAGTTGAAGGCTCGCGCTCGACAGAAGCGGCTAGCTCCATCTGCTCTGCACCGCACTGGAAGAAGCGGAGGCTTGGACAAAGGGCCGGGCATGGGTCTTCACCGACTTCGAGTTGAAAGACACGGTGGGCCACTGCGCAGCCGACATGTCTTGGCAACGTCTTTGACGTAAGGTGGGGAAGGGCACCTTCAGCCGGGTGCGCGTGGTGAAGATGAAATCCAGCCAAGAGAGGCAGGCGGAGCAGGCGGAGCGCAGAGGATGATGGGCTTCCCACGCTTAAACCAAGGACTCCCATGGTGCTGAAAATTCTCCGGAAGGGTGACGTGATCCGGCTCAAGCAGGCACACGGGACAAATGCAGCGTCCACTACGGTTCGCTTTGAGACCTGCAGGTTGAGCATGTAAAGGCCGAAAAGCAGATCATGTCAATGGTGGAACATCCCTTCATTGTCAACCTGCTGGGGGCCTTCCAGGACGACGAACTGCTTTTAAATGATTACTCAAAGGGGACGAATCGGGGGTGTGGGAGCCCAGAGTGCCGGTCGCAGCGTCCCTCTCCGAAAGGCGATCACGTTCGGATCGTTGCCGGCTTTCCTGAAGTCGCGAAATTCAGGGTGTTTTTCCACTCAGTGCTGTGTGGTTGACTTGCCACGTTTCTGCGAAGGTTGCAGCCATCAGTCCTTTTGCATTGTGCTGTGGGAGCACTATGGGCCCTTGTGCTTTGGATTCGCTTCGCATCACTGCCTCCAAGTTGGCCCCGCGATTACTCAAGCTTCAGAGTTTGCCCGCCACGGAGGCTGGCACGCGAAGCACAGCCTGCTCTGATTTTGCGATTCAGGCGTTCCATCCAGTTTCGGCCTGAATGCGTGGTGTTAGCATTTGAGTTTTCTGACAATCTTTTTGGTCTTAAGGTTTCGTTTTGTGTTGGATCTGCCATACGGCATTCCTTCGCATCATAGGGCCGTTGAAATGGTCTGGTTTTGTTTTGAAGCATTGCATGGTGTACACCGTGCGAACGTCTTTCGAGTGGCCGGCATGTTCGGGTTTCAAGGGTTTCCAAACAGCGTTTGAAGTCACCTTGTACCACTTTCCCCAAGTTGTCTGGTGTTTGGGATTGGTGCAACGAGTTTGCCAATCATTGCTTGCTTGTCTCGCAATCATCCTGGGAGCGAACTTTGATTTGCAAAGAGGTCCGGGGTTTGTCAGCCATCGCATTCTGGTTCTTCTTTCCGTGGATCAAAATTCACGCGCACGCGTTCGCTTGCCTTCTGAGTTTCCCGTGCCTGGCTGTCTTTCGCTACATGATTTTCTCTGCTCCTTGGCATCATTTTATCCACCACGGAAACGGAAGCTTCCTTGCGTTCGGCTTTCCATCAAATCTCGGATTGTCTCCTGCATCTCAGGATTCGGGGGTTTTGGGTTTGGCGGCAATCGTTTCCATTTGCCATCCTTTCCGGGGCCGGCCTACATCGAGTGGGGTTTTAAGGATTCCCACACAGTCGTTTGGACCGACCTTGTTTCGGGTTTCCCAGGCTTTCTTTGGTTTTTGGCATTGGTGCCACGAGTCTGCCAATCACTGCCGGACTGGTTTGCAGTTCCCTCGGGCTTGCGGAGTTTGCCTTGCCAAGAGGTGGGTTGCCAGTCACACTATGCCTTTGGCTTTTGTACATTGTGTCTTCTTGGATAGTCTAGGCCTGGGGTTCGCTGGTGCCCGGTGCTTCCAGTGAGGGTTCGCATCCATTCTGCAAGTTTGTTTCTGCCTACGCCACCAATCCTGACGAGCGTGTTGCGCTTGTTTCAGCCGACAACCAGTCCGCACATGTCCGAACGCCTTCCGCAGAGCGTCGGTCATCCGAGTAGCATTTGTGATCCAACCATGACAACGTCCACCCAGAGCGCAAGCAGTCCCGATCCATGATCGAGCCACGATAACGCCCACCCAGATTCCGCAGAGCATCCATGATCGAGCCATGATAATCTCTGACAACACCATTCCAGCACCAAAGCATGCAAGATTGCAAAGCGAGGGTTTTTTGCGAGGCAAACCGCCTCTCCGACAGTGACAATGTCAGCAATCGCATTTACGACACCATTCCAGCATGAAAGCATGCAAGACCGCAACATGCTGTTTCTTTACGGAAGAAACCGTATCTCCCACCGTGATGACCTGAGCACCACAATCGTCGAAACTTTTCTTGCGTAAGGTGTTGCTGCCTGCACACAACAATATATCAAATTCCAAGAAAAAAAGACGTTTCACCTGGTAAACACCACATTTTTTCCGCACACAGGAAACGAGCGCCATATCCTGGATTGCATAAAAAACAAAACATCTTGTCAAGCTGACACTGTTGTCCCCAAAGCCAGAAATACAGAAACAACGCCCGAAAAACGTAGCAACACAAAAACCGCATCAAAGCATGCACGTCTGAAAACTTTGTGCTGTTTGCGAGGGGATCAAGCTCTCCGACATTGAAGAGCTCACCGAAAACAACTCAGAAACAGAAGTTGCTTGCGGGCTGATGCCGCTCCCAAGTCTATGTTGCTTTCGGTTTGCCCGCCATTTCAGCACCAAGTTTCACTGAAATTGTGAGTAGACTTCGACTCGTCGATTATTTGTTGTTTTGTTCGAGGTTTGGGGTTCCCTGGGTAGTCCTCCTTCATGTGGCAGAGTTCGGGTTCGGATTTAGCGATTTAGCGTTTGTGTCTGCGGGCATGTGTGCTTTCCGCCACGTGTTCTTGTGCTTTGGACTTTTTGTGTTGGGTTGCATAAATCTCTTTACATTTTAGAGTTTGTCCACACAGAAGCATACTCTCAAAATCAGGGTGGGAAATGTTTGCCAGCCGCCAGGTTTGGGTTTCAAGGTTCTAAGTTAGGGTGTGCCAGTCATCGCCGTCTCGGTTTAAGAGTCGCCAGCCGCCAGCCACGGCTTTTCTGCATCACTTATGTACCTGGCTCCCGTCTGTGACGATATAGGGGTTTGTGACCGAAAGTTTCTTTTGTCGAGTTTGCTGCCATCGTTCGAAAGTTTCTGGCCAGCGCTCTTTTTTCAGGGTGTTGGGTTTGCCATCCACTCCGTCGCATCATCCGCCGTTAAAGTAGAAGATTTCACCGAACAGATTTGCTCATAGCTGGACATGATTTGGTGGGTTAGTGGATTGAAATTTGGAAGTGTTGAGCCACTTCACGCTGTCTGCGAGTCGTTGTGGGGTGGGCGTGGACCTGCCGTCCCAGCCTCTGTACGCCTTTGCCCCTTCAGTGTGCTGGTGCCCGTTGCTGCTAGTGAGAGTTTCCCGTCCATTTTGGAGCTTTGTTTGTGGGTACCCGCCACAATCACAACCCCCTGCCTTCCGGTTTGAGATTGTCTTGGCAGTCATTCTGAATGCGCCATGGTTCGGGTTGCAGGTTTGTTGGTGGTTGTGTCCGAGTGTTCTCCGCCATGAGTTCTTGTGCTTTAGTTTTCTCTTGCTTGGTTTCGTATCAATCTTTTCACGCTTCAGACTGTGCGTTTCACGGTGCGCCATTCAGTTTCGGGTGGACGGCGTGGTGCTTGCCAGTCATCAGCTGTGTCTTCCCAGAGTGGCTTTATTAGCCCCTGACATGCGAGATTGCCCTGACAAGGTTTTCCCGCAGTTAGATATATTTTTTGAGGTAGAATAAATGCATGGTGCGGAGTTGGCTTGCATGGCAAGCCGCCATCACGTATCCAGCATTTTTCATTTTGACGGATTTCCATTCATTCATTCACTTGTTTCGATTCCCAGCGTGTTTTGACGAGCAAACCGCTTTTTGCAGAGTCTGCACCCTGTCACCGCGCATCACTGCTTGGCAGTCCTCCTGCGCCAATGCGGGCTTGCCAGCGAGATTTCGGATTGAGTTTTGGATTTGCTGGGCAATGCCTTCCATCATGAGTCGTTTGTCCTTTGGATTGAGCGGCGTTTTATTGCCCTGGGTGTTGGGTTTGCTGTTTAGTTTAGGGTCTTGCAGTCATCCCCTTTTCGGGTTTATGACTTGCCATTTAGCGAGTCCTCATACGATGTATTTGCCTCGCTTTAATTTTGTCTTGTGAGCTGAGTTTCCTGTCAGTGTTCAAGAGTTTCTTGCTATCGTTGCCATTTTAAGATTCTCCCAACCAAGTTTGCTCATGGCTAGGCGAGAAGTTGCGCTTCAATGGTGTAGTGGTGTGTAGTTGGCTCACAAGCAATAGATCTTGTGCCGGTCGCAAAGGCGGTTCGTAATTGGCGTGGGTAGTCGGTCATCGAGTGGCCAGCATTTTCGGGTTTGAGGCCCTCGGGGATTGCGAACCATTTGCGTTTGCCGACGTGTGCTTTCAAAAAGGCCGGGGTTGCCGGGATTTTGTTGCTTGCAGCTTGCCGATCATCACCCTTTGTCTTCAGCGGCGAATTCCGTCGATGGTTTGGGATATGCCAGTGCACTTTTCCTTGTCGGCTGAATTGTTGTCCTGTTCAAGATTTAGGATGTCGCTATAGTTCACTCTTCGTTGCCAACCTGCCGGGCAACGCCTGGCATGCGTGTCTTCCGCCATGGTTGTTTCGTGCTTTGGAATTGCTGTTGCTCCTTTGCATGACTGGTTTCAGGGTGTGTAGAACTTACCCAAATCCATGTTGGGGTTGAAGGCGTGGCGTTTGGTAGCCATCAGCTACCTCTCTCCAAGTTGGCTCCTGCAGTTCAGGATCTGGGCGTTTTCAATTTGGTAGGCTGTGGTTTCAGGGTTCTTGGAACTGCCATCCGGCGCTCCTTTGCAGCATTAGCCACGCAGCACTGCCGAACTAGAATCTAGAAGATGTCCTCGATTTGCTTCTGTAACATTTTACATTTACTGCATGCCGCAGAGTTGGTTTGCATGGCAAACCGTCATTGAATGTCCCGGATGTTCGGGTTTGACTGATTTCCCCACTCAGTTTGATTGGCCTGATTTCGTGCTTGATTGTCCCATCTTGCGTGGAGGTTCAGACAGTTGAGCAGTGGGATTCAGAGTCGTAGGGGTTGTTTCCCGCCACGGAAGCTGCTCTTTGGAATTTGCCTACCACGGTAGGATCGCTCCAGTCTCGGGGTTTCTGGATCTGGCATCAGCATTCCTTTGCAGCGATAGCCGCCGAACCGAAGATCGCCTCCGCGAGGCTTGCGGCTTGCTTCTGTGTTTACTGTGTGGTGCGGAGTTGGCTTGCATGGCAAACCGTCATCGAATGTCCAGCATTTTCGGGTTTGACGGCTTCCCGTTCACTCATTTTGCTGGGTATTGGGATTGCTCATCGAGCCTGTTACTCACCGCAGAAGCTATGCTTTAGAATTTGCCCACAGCGGAAAGCGTGCTGCGTGACGGGCTCTTACAGTTAAGGATTTGGGGTTTTCGGTTTGCTTGTTGTTGATTGTACAGCGTGGTGTGGCATTAGCGTGCGCACGGCCAATCACCGAATGTTCAATGTTTTCGGGTTTGACGGATTTC